CTGCTCTACTATCAGTCTACCACCAGAGGAATGTGGAACCATGGCTCATGGTAGGGTACCAAAGCTTCAGGTTCATGCGAGATGACCACAGCTCCAGTTTACAAGAAGAGACCACAACTCTAGCTCAAAGGAGGGAGCCACAGTTCCAGCATACAGGATGGGACCACCACTCTGGCTCATAGAAGAAGATCACAGCTCTGGGTTCACAGAAGGGGACCACAACTCCAGGTTCATGGGAGGGGACCATAGCTCCAGTTTGTGTGAGGGGACCACAATGCTGGCTCACAGGAGGGAACTAAAAAATTATTTTTATTTTATGTATATGAGTGTTTTGTCTGCATGTATGTAAGTGCACTATATGCATGCAATGCCTACAGAGCCCAGAAGAGCGTGTTGGATCCCCTGGAACTGGCATTATGGATGGCTGTTAGCTGCCATGTGAGAGATGGAAACTGAACCCTAGTCTTCTGCAAGAGCAACAAGTGTTCTTAACTGCCGAACCATCTCTCCAGCTTCTCCAGTTATCTTCTAACAATGTCTGTAAAAGTTTCTTATTAGCCAGGAATGGTGACACTTGTAAACCCAGCATGTGGGAAGCTGAGGCAGGAGAACTGTGAGTTCAAGGCTGGCCTGGACTACATGGGGATACGCTATCTTTAAAAAAAAAAAAAAGTTCTTACAAAAATATAAAATTCCGGCCTAGTGTGGCACACATGCCTTTAATCCCAGCTCTCAGGAGGCAAGGGCAGGCAGAGCTCTGTGAGATCAAGGCCAGTCTGGTCAACAGATTGAGTTCCAGGCCAGCTGGGGCTACAGGGAGACCTATCAGGAAAAAAAGAAAGGAAAAAGAAAAAAAAAAGAAAAAGAAAAGCATACACACACACTCACACACACACACACAAGTATATATAATTCCTAGAAAGAAATATATAGAACATACATACAGTTTATTAAACTATTACACAGTTAACAGCTGTGGAGCCCACACCTAGGGGAAGAGGCAGAATATTGTTCAACAGTGGAATATTGCCTAGAGATAATAAGTAGTTCTAAAAATACAGTAAAGTTGTTAAGAACATTAGTTCAGGGATCAGATGACCTGTGATTGAATCCTGACTCTGCGACTTAGCAGATAATTTGAGTAAATGATCAAACCATTTTGAGCTTTAGTCTTTCAATTCCTAAAATGAGGAAAATAATAGTACTCCATAAGGTTTTGTAAATACAAAACTCCCATTGCAGGAAGAACAGTGCCCGTCATGTTTATCCCCAAGCAAATGGTGGCGACCCCATTCTCCAAGGTTCCTGCTTGGGTCCTGATGCACACTGTCCTTTGTTTCCCTGGGATTCCTCCCAGGAAGATCTTGCTTCATACACAGACATTGAACATTTTGAGGCTTACTCACCTAGTGTAGTCATCCTCTTGGAAATTACCTTCTCGATATCTGCCCCATAAATTATTGCAAAAATATGTCCAAGGAAACCAGCCTATGTAGTCTGGGAGCCTCCCTCCTTGTGACAAGCTGGGGTAATAGAGGCCTTTCATGCCAGGCTGGCAGCTACTCCAAACAAATACCAGTCACTGGATTCATTCACTATACTGGCACGGTAGAGTGGAAGTATTTGAATCTCCCCTCTAAAATCCTCTAAAGCCTGGAACTAGCCTAAAGTACTGCAGAGGAATGTGTTGCTTGCACAGTGGCAGGGGGCTGGGTGAGAGACAAGGCTTGGCAGGCACATTCGATTTGGGAATCAAGGTGGCATTCCACAATAGTTTAGGAATTTGTACACGACAGAAATGTTTAGGAAGGTAGGATACAGTAATTGCCTGTTAAACTTATTGAGACTTGTTTTATGCTCCAGAATATAGTATATCTTCGAACATATTTCCCAACACCCTTATAAGTAAGGTATTAATTAAATCTTTATTTACTTATTTTTCTTGAAATGCTGGGAATAGGGCCCAGGGCTTCATGTGTACTAGGCAAGCATCTAACCACTGAGCTATATTCTTAGCTCTCACCCTTTTTTTTTTCTTTTTGGAGATAGAGTCTCACTATGTAGCCCTGGCTGTACTTGAACTCAGAGATCTATTTCCTTCTGCTGGGATAAAAGGCTTGCACCACCCCACCCACCTGAACACCATAATCTGAGCTCTTAATTTTCTCCTTTACATATAAAAAGGAAGAAAAATTATTTTTTTATTTCTTATTGATTTGGCTGTAGGTAACAACAAATATCTACTTATGATCCTCTAAGAGTAACATTTATTTTGTTTCTGAGTAGTGTGGATTTTAATCAAATAATGTTCAAGAGTGAATAACACAATTGTGAGTTGCCAAAAAGGAATATTTGGTAAGGAGTAATTACTTTTACGCAGTTTATATAATGATTAAACTGAGCATGGCACCATCCAACTAATTTTGTTTTGCTATTAAGGAAAGATGTGCTTAAGGCCAGGTTTTCTTTCTGGACACTTTCAGTTATTGCTAATAAGCAAATATTCGACAATAGTGAAAAGAACAAAGTTTTTTAGATCTTTCAGTGTTGTAGCATTGTTTGGAAGATTACTCTGAACCAAATGAAAAATGACATACAGTAGTTCAAGAGAAACCATATAAGGTTACCTTTTTTTAACAGTAAAAAATGATCAAAATATCATGAGTTCAACCTAGATTTCAATATTTAATTATTATTTTTAAATATTCTATTTATTTTTATTTTATGTGTATGAGTGTTATGCCTGCATGTAAGTAAGTGCACTTGTGTCATGTAATGCCCTTGGAGGTTAGAAGAGTGTTGGATTCCCCTGGAACTGAAGTTACAGAGGGTTATTAGCTGCCATGTGGGTGCTGGGAATTGAACCTGGGTCCTCTACAAGAGCAGCCTGTGCTCTTAATTGCTGAGCCATCTCTTATTTAAGAGCCAGCCCTTATTTTATTTTTAATTATGTATATGTGAGCATATCTGTGTGTTGGTATGTATATGTGAGTGCTGGTGCCAGAAGAGGCCGGAAGTGTCAGATCCTCCTGGAGTTAGTGTTATAGGCTGTTATGAGTCAACCAATGTTGGGTCTTCTGGTCTTCTGCTCCAAGAGCAGTACATGTTTGAACAAATAAGCCTTATCTTCAACCTTTAACTTAGATTTTAAATCCATGAATCAATATCAACTAGAAGGCAAGTTTCATTAAAACAGTGGGGCTGGGGCGCGGAGAGATGGCTCAGCAGTTAAGAGCACTGACTGCTCTTGTAGAGGACCTGGGTTTGATTCCCAGCACCCAGGTGGTGGCTACAAACCGTCTTTAACTCCAGTTCCAGGGGAACTGAAGCCCTCTTCTGACCTCCGCGGCATTGCACGACATGGGTGCACTCACATACACGCAGGCAATACACTCATACACATAAAATAAAAATAAATATTTTTAAAAACCCCCCAAAACAATGGGGCTGCCAGGTGTGGTGGTGATCCCTATTAGCAAATCAGTAGGGACAGGCAGTACATTTGTTGTATCAAGGACTGGGGATGGGAAATGAGGGAACACAAAATGACTACTAATGGTATTGAGTTTATTATTTTTGACAGGGTTTCCCTATAGCCCCAGCCCACCTGAAACTCACTATGTAGACCAGGCTGGCCTTGTGACCTCACAAAAGTGCCTATGATGTCCTCTTCAGAATAAGTTAAATACATCATAAAATAATACAGATAGGACTTTACAGATCCTAGAGTGCTGGGAAATATTCCCTTAATTATAAACTAAGTTGGAATGTTTGGAGATTTTAGTAAACTGACAGCTAACATTAAAAGGATTAAGCTGCCTTCCTTAGTATTTAAAATCAATTTAATCTGCATCATTCAAAAACTACAGTCATACTGAAGTAATTATAACAATGACTTCATGAAAAATTACTAATTAGATTAATGATCTATTAAGGTTGTCATCTTATTTTTACTTCCTGAAGTATTGAATTGTGCCTTAAGATCTAATGTAAGGGAGAGTCACACCTTTAATCACTTAATCAAAGGCAGAAAAGTGGATGGGATTGGACAGAAATTTTACTAGTAATGTTGACATTCCAGATTGGAACACAAAAGCAAGCAGATCTTACAAAATTTGAATTCACCTTCAGTGTAGATAGTTAAATTACAAGAATTAAAATTACTACACTGTGGACAGCAATAAAAAAAAGCAACATAGTGTGTGTGTGTGTGTGTGTGTTGGCGCCTGTAGTCCCAACACTGGGAAAGCAGGCAGATTTGTGGGAGTTCGAGGTCTGCATAGCGAATTCCAGGCCAGTCCCGGCTATACAGCCAAACAAAACAACATACACTTACAGATACACACACACACACACACACACACACACAGAGTTATGGACTGAGTTTTTTTTTTTTTTTAAAGAAAGAATTTAGCGTACAGAACTGAAGTTTATTATTTTTAAGCCAAAAGAGACTACTGAAATGTTTTAAAACCCCTAAGAGTAGATTCAGGCTACATTTCGTAAACTGAACACGCACTTCATCTTGCTTTACGTACGTACATGAATATTTACCTTCATTTTACCCACTCTAGAGGATCCTTTTTTTTTTTTTTTTTCCACAGATTCAGAAATCGCTGGTAAATTAGCAACTACTGAAAAACTTCCGTGTTTTGCATCTAGATACTGCTTTCCAACAAATGTTTAATCAAAGTAGAAGCAGGAAAGTCTGCGAGGATTTGCCTTTCTTTTCAGCGCTCGGAGTACCCTTGAACCCACTTTCAGTAGGAAAATAGCTCTGTGCAGACCTCACGGCTTCCCAACAAACCCACCGCTGTGCTCTCAGAGCACGCCCCAGGAGGTCAGGACTCACCCCCTGCATCCGCGAAACCAAGGCCCTCCCCTCCGGCAATAGCAGGCGCTGTTCCTTTAATTCTGCGCTCACCGGGAGCGTCCGGTCCTCCCGCCTCCTCCTCTGCGGTCCCTCCCTCCTCCCATCGGAGTTTCAGGTGAATGGGTCATCGAGGGAGTAGGCCGGGCACGCCACACCTTGGCGCTCGTGCCCACCTCCTGCTCCCTCTTTCCTCCCGCGGCCGCAGCGGAGTCTGGGGAGAGCAGCCTGGGCGCGAAGCAGTGGGTCCGGGAGCAGCAGGTGGGACCCTGGCCGGCAAAGGTGAGCATGCCCGGGGGCTGGGGTGGGGGAGGAGGACCGCGCTCCCAGTGGAGCCCAGGCTGCTTGAGGGTGGCGCACGGCGGCAGGTGCGCCGGGCTGCAGGTGCGCCCGCCAGGTAAGACTCCCGGCTCCCGCCGCGCACGTGAGCCCGGCGGGAGCAAGTAGGGGCGAGGGAGGCGCGGCGGCCGGAGCTGGGGAAGGGGGTGGGTCTCCGAGGACAAGACGAGGCGTGGGGAGGACGCGGGGCGTTGGTTTCGGTGGCGGTTTCGCCCTGGACGCGGGGCTCGTGAGAACCCGAGAAATGCGGGTGCCAGAAAGCAGCGCTGGGCGACTTGGGGTCTGGCTCCCCTGGCGAGGGGCGACTCGGAAGCTCCCGCGAAGCTTTTCTCCAAATGCTCTAGGCGCCCGGTCGCTTTCTGCTTTCGTGGAGGCGGGAGCCTGGCGAGGGATCCTGCGCTCCGCTCGGGCGCTGCAGACCCGTGGGTCCTCGGGGTCCCCAGTCCCGGTCGGTGACTTGGGTCCCCGCGTCCCGCAGGGTTTTCGCCCATTTGGGTGTCCCATCCCGGGAGAGGGGAGCCAGGGGATCCCCCTGCAGGGTCCCCGCGGCGTGGGGCACCCTAGCTATTCGGAATGTACTCGGGGGAAGTGTGCGCGCCCTGGTCGATGTCAGCTCGGGGACTTCATTTCGAGGGAGGCTGGACTTCGAGGGAAGCTGCTTAGGCTTCGGATATTCTGCCCAGGGGCAGAGCCTGCTGCGGCCACACACTGGTCCGGCCGTTCCCGAGCGCTGTGCATCCGTGGGGCGCTAGGTCGCGGGGACCCGCAGCCCGCCCGGGGCCGCGGACTTTCAGACCTCCTGGGCAGGGCTGGCCTCGGGACCACAAGGAGTGGCCGGCGTCGGGGGAAGTGTGCGGCGACAGGTGGGTAGAGACCAAAATGGCCTCTGCACCTCCGCGCTAGAGCTACACCGAGCCCCTCAGATGGAGTGACTTAGTCCCAGGAGCTGCCTCAACATCCTCGGGCCTGCGCGGGGCTCACTGGGCAAACTGCCACTAGGGGAATTACCTGGGGTGGGGAGGAGGCAGCTTTTCAGGCAGGGTAGTGTGTGGCCCTCGCGGATAACAGGTGTATTCTTGGGATCCCTGGAAAAGAGAAATGCTTCCCAGTAAGGCGCTCAGGTGATTTTTTTTTTTTTTTTCAGATTGAAAACTAGTGGAGGTGAGTTATTCGAACTACCCATCCCCAAGTATAACAGTATAACTTTGCACCGTCCTTACACACCTTGAATTTCTACTTTTTTAATTTGTTAGTTTTTTTTTTTTTCTTTCTTTCTTTTTTTTTTTTTTTGAGCCTTGTAGCCCCAGCTGTCGTGGAAAGCACTATGTAGACCAGGCTGGCCTTGAACTCACAGAGATCCACCTGCCTCTGCCTCCTGAGTTCTGGGATTAAAGTCCCTGTAGCCCCAGCTGTCCTGGAACTCACTATGTAGACCAGGCTGGCCTTGAACTCACAGATATCCGCTTGCCTCTGCCTCCCGAGTGCTGGGATTAAAGGCGTGCGCCACCACGCCCGGTTATTTTATAATTTTTTAAAGCTTTGCCAGGTGCTTCCTTAGCGATGGTGTGCTTAGCGAGTTAGGTTTAAAAAAAAAGTGTCTTTTCGGCAACTTCCAGGCTATTTAGGAAGCAAGAGGTATCGCCTTGTATAGGCCTCAGTGTTAGAAATCCATTTTGAGGGTTTGACGGGGCGGGGGGTGGCTCCGTGGTAGCCCAGGGTTAAGAGTTTCAGAACGCAAAAACCAAAACAAATCACTCCCCAGATTTACATCAAGTTAGAGGCAAAGGATTTAAGAGAAGCCTTTAAGGACTATTCAACTGTAGAGAATTTCAGAGATGGTTCCCATGGAAAAAAGCCGAGGCAGTTTTCAAGCCTGCCCATTGGGAACGCTTCCTTTAAAATGGAGATTTTGTGTGCCACGCCCACATCGGATAGCGAACCCAGGGTCCTGCTCTGCTGGATAAATTCTCCATGACTGAGCTACAACCCCAGTCTCCCATGCAGATTTTTGTTTTAGTTTCTCATCTTGTAGCTCTGATCTAGTTTCTTTTGACTGTTGTGTGGGGCTCCTAGGAGTCTTTCCGAAGTATAGATTTGCTTAGAAATTTGGGGTGGAGCCTGTTATCCTTCCTTTCTAACAGGCTCCTAAATTATGCCCATGCTATTGTTTTTTCCGCCTCCTGCTCCCTCAGATTGTAAGCATGAGTTACTCAAACTGACCTCTACTTGGTATATTTACTGTTAGTTGTGTGAAGTTCAAGGCATTCACTGCTGGACTAAGATCCCAATAATATAGTGCACTGATTTTATTATTTATTGGTTGATCATCATTCCTATGTATTAAGAACTAGTTCCAGGGACTAGGGAAAGTGATGGAACCTCTTGTGTTTCACATGGGCTGGAGACAGTGTGTCCTGTGGTCAGATATGGGGAAAATTTACCCTGATAATAAAATAAATTTGGTATGGAGCTAGTGGCCTGGAGGACATCTCTGAGATTACATTTGAGCTGAGACTTGAACTTCGTGGGCCTTGACTGGCAAGGTCAGGATCTTCCTTGGGAGGCCTCTGAGTAAAGGCAGTTGCTTACCACCAAGCCAAAGATCTGAGTTCAGTCCCCAAACCCCACATGGTAAAAGGAGAGAAACTGAGTCCTGTAAGTTGTCTTCTGACCTGCACATACCATAAATAAATATGTGATAAAGATGCTCCTTGGAAACTGGGGCTGTAGCTCTGTCAGAGTGCTTGTTTAGCCTGCACAAAGCCCTGGGTTCCATCCTCAGCAGGTCAAAAAAAAAAAAAAAAAAAAAAAACTAGCTCCTCAATTCATTCTAGAGAGAGATTTGTAATAATATGTGGTTTTAAGAATTCTGAACTTACATTTATTTATTTGTGTTGTGTATGGGGAGTATATGCATATTTGTGTTTGTGGGGGATATATGCATGGGTGTGGGTGTGCACGTACCAGGTGCACATGTGGAGGTCAGAGAACAACTTGCAGGAGTCAGTTCTCTCTTTGGACCCTGTATGTCTTGGGGATTGAACTCAGGTTGTCAGGATTGGTGGCAAGTAGTCTGTGCTCAGTGAACTGCCTTGCTGGTCCTGTGGTTTAAAAATCATCAGGAGCCAGGTGTGGTGGCTCACACCTGTAATCTTAGCCCTTGAGAAGTTTAGTTAAGAGTGTTGCTAAGAGTTTTGAGGACTTTAAAAAGTACAGTTTGGGATACAGAGTCTTTAGAAGTTTGTCTGATTTCATATTTTTGAGCAATTTTTTTTTTTTTTTGGTCTTTTTTTTGAGACAGGGTCTCGCTGTAGCCCCAGGTAGTCTGGAACTCGCTATCTAGACCAGGCTGACCTGGATTTAACAGAGATCCACCTGCTTCTGCCTCTCTTTAATTTTATTACCTATTTTTAAAAAATATTTTATTATTTTATGTGTATGCATGTATTGCCTGGGTGTAGGTAAGTGCACCCGTGTCATGCAGTGCTTGCGGAGGACAGAAGAGGCTGTCGGAGGCCCTGAAACTGGGGTTACGGATAGTTGTTAGCTGCCATGTGTGTGCAGGGATTTGAACCTGGGTCTTCTGCAAGAACAACCAGTGTTCTTAACCGCTGAGCCATCTCTCCAGCCCAATGCCTAAAATTTTTAAAGGCAAATTGACCGTTGCCATCTGTGATCTAAAAGGGACAGACTCTGCTTAAATGACATTTTTCACTTACAGTTTTCTTTGAAGAAAAATTTCAGAGCAAAAGCACTTTAAGATGTAATTTTTTTTTTTTGGTCTTTGTGAGACAGGGTCTCCCAGTAGCCCCAGCTGGCCTGGAACTCACTATGTAGACCAGGCTAACTCACAGAGATCTGCCAGCCTCTGCCTCTCCAGTGCTGGGCTTAAAGGCAGGCGCCACCACACATGGCTCAAAAAATTTTGCCTGGCATGGTGGTGCATGCCATTAAGCCCAGCACTCAGAAGGCAGAGGCACAGGGATCTCTGTGAGTTTGAGGCAGCCTTGTTTACATAGTGAGCTCCAGGCCAGCTGGGGCTACAGGGAGACCCTGACTCAAAAAGACCAAAAAAAAAAAAAAAAGGCTTTTTTTTTTTTTAAAGACTAGTTTTGGCCAGTAAACATTTTCAAACCAAGAACTTTTATTATATTTGAACATTAGCTGGAGATGCTGTTTTTTTTGTTTTAACATATTCCTGAAGAATCTCCTGGCTCCTTCCACCTGCAGCTACAGAGCTGTCTTCAGTTCCTGCCACTCTTTATGCCTTGGTGATGAAAGTGATTAGTGGGCCTCATCGTCCAAATCCTAGAGCCCCTGTCATTCCTTTTTGTTTTTTCCTTCCCTCTGCACAGACCTAGTGGTGGTGTGCTGGGTGTTGGTCTTCTGCTGCTGGATCTGAAGCTTTATCACAGACTTAGAGACCTTGAAGTCTCCCAGGGCCATTTCCAAAACAAATACTAAGTAACTTGCACTTTGCATAAATAGCAGAAGCTCAAATGGTTATTTGTTATTCTTGGAAGGGGTGGAGTTAGGGCCTAGGGAATATGAAATCTGGCCCTGCAGTTTTGGGTGTTTGTTTTGTTTTGTTTTTAACCATTTCTAGAAGTACAAAGACAGCTCTTAAGATAATTTTTGAGCTATCAGAATGGTCTAAAAGGACATTAAAATATATCAAGTTCTCTAAGGCAGGCATTTCCTGTTTTCCAGTTACTTGTCAAGACATTTATTTGTTTATTTTTATTTTTTAGATCTTTAACAGTCTTGGTTCCCTCCTGGAGAGGTACCCAGTGTGGAACCTGATGTACGTATTTCAGATCTTGTTTATTTCTTTTCTTTTTTAGAGTTAGGGATCTGGAACTCAGGGCCTCATGGGTCTCATACATGTTAGGCAAATGCCCTACCGTTGAGCTACAACATCAGCCCCTTGTGTTTCTTTTTGTTAGCCATAACATTCCTAGATGTGAGTGCTATTTCTGTGAGGGCTCTCTAAGATTTGGATAGCCTTTGTTGAAATTCTTGTCAAAGAAATGCACTTTTTTAGGGGGAGGGAAAGGTACCATTTTTTTTTTTTTTTTTTGGAATGTACCTTTTAAAATGAGCATCTGCTGAGGCAGATTCTCTTTATCCTACACTATAATATTGATCTTTAAAAATATTTTATTTATTATTATTATCATTATTATTATTTGTCTTTTTGAAGCAGGGTCTCCCTGTAGCCCCAGCTGTCCTGGAACTCACCATGTAGACCAGGCTGGCCTTGAACTCACGGAGATCCACCTACCTCTGCCTCCCGAGTGCTGGGGCTACAGGCACGGCACCACCATGCCTGGCTTATTTATTATTTTTATTTTATGTGTATGAGTGTATTGCCTGCATGTATGTTGGTGCACCCTTGTTGTGTAGTGCCCACAGAGGTCAGAAGAGGGCATTGACTCTCCTGGAACTGCAGTTATGGACAGTTGTTAGCTGCCATGTGGGTACTCAGAATTGAACCTGGGTCCTCTGCAAGAGCAGCCAGTGCTCTTAACTGCTGAGCTATCTCCCCAACCCCTATGGTATTCATTTTTATTAATTAAGTTGTTTAGCCATTTTCCCTGTCCACCAATCTCAGGATCTCAGTTTTTGGGAAAGCAGCAGAGAGCAAAACCTCTGGGTTCCAGTAGCAGGTTTACTGTCTTTATTTTATTTTATTGGTGCTGGGGATTGAACTCAGGGCCTTATGAGTGCCACTGAATGCTTTAATACCCCTAGCCCGGAGTTTACATTTTTAAGTGATTTATTCATGCCGCCAAATACCCGAGTGCCTAAACACTTAAATCTCTCACCTTCAGGGTCACCACTTCCCAGAGTTTGAGTGTATTTACGGCTTTTCTCTATTGTACTTACCTCGGCAAGGTCAGAATTAGTCCTCCCTTTTGCAGAGGAGGTAGGTCACTGAAGCAGAGATCAGGAAGTTGTTTTGGCCTCTGAGCTAATAAATGGGAACTGTTAGAGCTACTAGATTTGCTTAAACAACCCTTTAGATCTTACAGAGAGCCCTTGCTCAGTGTAGATGGATTCCTAGCCCCTGGGTTGTTATGCTTTCCAGTGTTTAGTCAGCTGCAAATCTGGATAACCTTGTCTGTGGTTACCACTGGCGACCTCCCTCCAGGTGACCTTAAATGGTCCATTCTTTTCTGCTAATTAGATGCTATTATTTAGCTCCTTGGGAACCTGGCCAATCCTCCAAGTTTATACTCCAGATTCCCAGGATTTTTTCTCTGTGTTCTCCTTTGAAATCTTTTTCAGAAAAGAAACCAAGGTGTGGCAAAAGCTTTTTCAATCAGCTTATTAAAATTGTTTCATAATGTAAACGTCTCCACTATTGGAGGAGACATGGCAACCAAATTCCAAATTCAGGAAATAGCAGTTTGAAAAAGGATTTTGTTTGAATATCTGATAGTTAACACCTGAATCTGAATTAGAGTTTTTAATAACTGCCACCGAGCCTGGAATTCTGTGGATTGTCCTTTGCATTTAAAAAAATCGACTTATTAATTTGTACGGGTGTTTATGTGCATGTGTGTGCCTGTGCCCATGGAGTCCAGAAGAGTCAGATTCCCAGAATTGGAATTACAGGTGGTTGTCACCTGATGTAGGTTCTGGGAACTGAACCCATGTCCTCTGCAGGAGCTAAGCCATCTCTCCAGTTCCTTGTATTGTTTTTTCTTTTTTTTTTTTTCCCTTGTATTGTTTTGAGGCAGGGTCTCCCACTGAAACCAAAGCTGGCCTCATTCTCTCAAATGGTGGGCTTACATAGGTGTGAGCCTGGCTTTGAGAGCAGTCTTGAGTGACTGAGTTGTAGGTATAGCAGGTCTAAGGTTCCTCTAAGGTCCGTATTTGTCACTATTTGACATTAGTCTCAGAAATGAGGTCTCACATTTAGTAATACTCAAATTCAGTTTTTGTTAATGTTCTTTTTCCAAAAGTCATTTAATTTGGACTTTTGCCTTTCAAAATGAGCTTAAATTGCTCATAATATGTATTTCACCTTTAGAGGATGAAGAAATGAGGCTTGGATTGGAGGCGCATTTAGTCCTGGAAGGCAGAAGCAGGCAGATCTCTGTGAGATCCAGGCCAGTCTGGTCTACATAGTGAGTTCTAGGCCAGCCAGGGCTACAAAGAAGGGAGGAAGGGAGAGAAGGAGGGAGGGAAGAGAAGATGAAGACATAGTTATGGGGCTGTATGTACTTAGGATTTGTATACTTTATGTTGTGTATCAGTTAAGTGATTTAAAAAAAAAAAAAGTAAAAGAGGGGCTGGAGAGATGGCTCAGCTGTTAAAGAACACTGGCTGTTCTTGCAGAAGACCCAGGTTCAAATCCCAGCACCCACATGGCAGCTAACAGCTGTAACTCCAGTTCCAGGGGATCCCATAGCCTCTTCTGTCTTCCGAGGGCACTGCACTACACGGGTGCACTTACCTGCATGCAGGCAATACACGCATACACATAAAAATAATAGATAAGCCAGGTGTGGTAGTTGCACACCAGCACTTGGGAGGCAGAGTCAGGTGGATCTCTCTGAGTTCAAGGCCAGCCTGGTCTACATAGTGAGTTCCAGGACAGCTGGGGCTACAGGGAGACCCTGTCTCAAAAAGACCAACCCCCCCCCAAAAAAAAAAACCCAAAACAATGGGGCATGGTGATGCACACCTTTAATCCCAGCACTTGGGAGGCAGAGGCAGGTGGATCTATGAGTTCAAGGACAGCTTGGTCTACATAGTGAAGTTCCAGGCCAGCTGGGGCTACAGGGAGACCCTGTCTCAAAAAAACCCACCTCTCCTCCAAAAAAAACCTCAGAAAACAAAACAGAGATTGTCTCTCCTCATGTTGCTGCCTGTATTGGTGGTTTTTTTTGGTTGTTGTTGGTCTTTTTGAGACAGGGTCTCCTTGTAGCCCCAACTGCCCTGGAACTCACTGTAGACCAGGCTGGCCTTGAACTCCCAAGTGCTGGGATTAAAGGTGTGGGCCACCACGCCTGGCTGCTTGTATTGGTGTTACTAAGAGTTTCATTTTTAAGTTTTTTTTTTTCCCTAACATGGCTGAGCAGAATTTTATTCTTAGAGATTTGGAATGAATGATGTGGAAACAATTGCTGTTAATTTTACAGAACAAAGTTCTAAAAGTTTAAATTGACTGACTATTCCTAAGACAATAATGCATGATTGCACAGACATTTTATTTTTTAAGTTATTATTTTATTTTATTTTATTTTATCTTATTTTATTTTTGAGGCAGGGTCTCCTGTAATCCCAGCTAGCCTGAAACTGGTTGTGTAGAACAGACTGGCCTCAATTGCACAGAGATCCACCTTCCTCTGACTCCCCAGTGCTGGTATTAAAGGATGAAACATGATGCCCGGGCTTTATTTTTTTTAATTATGTGTATATGTCTGTGTGAATATGTACACAAGAGTGCAGGCGCCTATGGAGACCAAAAGCATTGGGTCCCCCTGCAGTTGGTTACAGACAGTTGTGTGCTGCCTAATGTGGGTGCTAGGAACTGAACTTGGGTCCTCTATAAGAGCAGTATGTGCTCCTAACTGCTGAGCCAGCCCTCCAGCTCCCAGACTTTATTGAAAATGGGAAAAGAATTAACATTTTAATATGCCCAGATTATGGACCTTTCTCAGGTGTCACTTGCAGGAAATACTTTGCTAAATAATTCTGATACTTTTCCATTGCCTTCAACCTGAAGCACAAGGGGGTTTGTAGGCAGAAGTATCCATAGTCCAATCTGATTCATGTAAATGTTGAGTAAATATTTGCACATCTTCCATGTGCCAGGTACTGTTTTAATCAGTGAACCACATGCAAAAATTCCTGCTCACATGGAGTTTACCTAGTGGATCTAAAGTTCTCTTTCTAATCAATTACCACTGTTGCCTGGAAAGAACTTATTGCTGCTTCAACATACCTAACCTGATGGGCATGTGATGCTGAAATGCAGCACTGAAACTGGCTTTTCTTTCTTTTTACATTTATTTATTATTTATTTACTTGTTTTGTACGTGTATGTGTGAGAAGCATGCATGTGTGCACATGCATACTGCAGGACCATGTGTCCTCAGAGGACAACTTTTGGGAGTCCATTCTTTCCTTCCACCATGTGGGTCCTGAGGATTGAACTCAGGTCATCAAGCTTAGTGACAATTACCTTTACCTGTTGAGCCATCTCACTGGCCCCTTCTTAGCATTTCTAGGACTGAACTTTTTAGATTAGACTTCAGCCCTTTTAGGTCTGTCAGTATTTTTCCAGAAGAGCTCTTGGTACCATGGAACCACCTTGTACTGAGGTGGATCATGTCCAGCTTCACTGCTTCATGGACATTAACACCAGCTAGTATATCTGTTCTGGTGAGTTTTCTATTGCTATGATAAAACACTGGCCACAACCAGCTTGGGGGAGGAAAAGGTTTATTTCATCTTACAGTTCCTACCATCAGGGCAAGAGTTTGTAGGTAGGAGCTGAAACAGAGACCATGGAGGAATGCTGCTTACTGGCTTTCTTCCCTGACCTGTGCCCAGCCTGCTTTCTTAAACAACCCAGAACCACCTGCTCAGGGTTGGCACCACCCACATTGGGCTAGATCCTCACAGTCAGGGAAATGCCTCACTGACATAGCCACAGGCCAGTTCAATAGAGGAAATTCCCCAATTGAGGTTCCCAGCTATGTCAGGTTGACAACCAAAGCCAACCATGATATCCCAAATGAAACTCATTTTTATTTTTTTTTGTTTTTGAGACAAGGTCTCACTATGTAGCACTGACTGGCCCAGAACTCAGAGAGATCCACCTGCCTTTGCCTCTGCCTCCCAAGTCCTGGGATTAAAGATGTGTGTCACCATGCCTGGCCTGTTTTAACATCTGATAGTGGAAAGTACATGAGATATGGGTCAAGTTACATTTCAGTCACTCACTGGTTTCCTTCTGGCTTTGAGCCTGTCACTTCCAAGTCTTTCCAGTCCCCTCTGCATTTGTAAAGTAGCCAATCAGGATGGTTTTGAGACTGAAATGGAATTTATGTAAAGCGCCTAGAACCTGAGTAGATATCCAAAACTAGTTTTTTGGCCTCTCCTAGTTCCTGAGCTGGTGCTGCATCACCTGTGGGGTTTGCTGCTGCTGGTCCCTCTTACCTGTCTCTCTGTCCTAACTCATTCATACCTCCACCACTGAGAATCATAACTGGCTCACTACTTCCTACTTGAATGAGATGAGAAACTACTACCAGACTTTCAAAACTCTCTGTATTCTCACTGTAGTCTTGTATTAACAGATAAAAAGATCCTTATAGGCATTCTCTCTGACCCATAAACCAGCCCCCTGCCCACCTTTTTTCCTTCCAGGACCCCTATTTATGGCTCCTTATCTTTAAATCTTCCCCTTTCCATACTCTCATCATGTAGTCATGTAGTTCAGCCCCTAAATAATGCCTGATATAGTTGCTGTTTTGTGTGTGACCTGCTGGAGAAGTTTGTCTCATCCTCTGCATAGTTAAGTTCCTTAATAAATGTGTGTTGATTTCGTGAAATTGCCTCTCAGATGTTTAAGAATTTCTGCTCTGAGGAGTTTTGGAACAAAATTATTCTGCTCTTTTCTGAGGAAAGTTCTCTTAAGTGTGTATTTTATGTTTTTCTGCTTTCATAAAAATGACACCTTTAAACACTTGAAAAAGGAGAAAAGGGAAAAATATTCACAACCCCACCATTTGTGCACATTTCCTGCAATGGTTTTTAGTAACACTTTAAATTAGGCTGTGCTTTAGTTAACACTGAAGTCCTCATAGGTACCAGACACTGCTGTAGATTCACTTTCAAAGGGAGCTTTAAATAATTAATTTTCTTGCAGTACTGGGGATCGAATCCAGGACCTTGAGTGTGCTAGGTGTGCTCTACCACTGAGTTATAGTCATCCACTTTTTTTTTTCTTTTTTCTTTTTTTAAAAAGGATCATACTATGTTGTACTGTGTTGCCTAGGTTGATCTCAAACTCTGGGTCCTTCTGTCCAGTCTTCCTGAGTAGCTAGGATTTCAGGTATGCACCATTGTATCTGGCGTTGAAATCATTATTTTATTTAAAAAATGTTACAATTTATTTTTATTTTCTGTGTATGAGTGTTTTGCTGGCATGTATGGAAGTGCACCTGTGTTGTACAATCCCTTGGAAATGGAGTTTTAGATCACCGTGTGGGTGCTGGGAATTCACCTGGGTCCTGTACAGCAGCAGCTAGTGCTCTTAACCAATAAACCATCTCTCCAGCCACTATCTATCTATCTATCTATCTATCTATCTATCTATCTATCTATCTATCATCTATCTATCTATCTATCTATCATCTATCTATCTATCTATCTTATCTATCATCTATCTATCATCTATCTATCTATCTATCTATCTATCTATCTATCTATCATCTATCTAATCATCTATCATCATCTATCTATCTATCTGTCTATCATCTATTATTTATTATTTTTGGTCTTTTTGAGACAGGGTCTCTCTGTAGCCCCAGCTGTCCTGGAATTCACCATGGAGACCAGGCTGGCCTTGAACTCACAGAGATCCGCCTGCCTCTGCCTTCTGCTTCTTTTTCTTTTTTTATTTTGGTCATTTTGAGACAGGGTCTCTCTGTAGCCTGGATTCCCTATGGAGATCAGGCTGGCCTTGAACTTAACAGAGATCCACCTGTCTCTGCCTCTTGAGTGCTGGGATTAAAGGCGTGCACCACCACGCCTGGATATAATTAATTTTTAAATAAAACTTCTGACATTTTATTTATGTGTCTGTGTGTGTACGATGGCACACGTGGAGTCAGAGGACAACTTCCAGGAGTCATTCTCTTCTTCCACAATGTGTGTTCCAGGAATTCAGGGGCTCCGCTTTCTTCTTTCTCAGATAGGGGCTCATGCTAACCTAAAAATTTTTACTTTTTCTTCCTGGGCATGGATGGTGTCACACCTTTAATCCAAGCACTGGAGGAGGTGGAGGTAGCTGGAATCTTTGTCAGTTCAATGCTAGTCTGATCTACATACGAAGTGAGTTCCTGGCCTGCCAGGGTACTTAGTGAGACCCTGCATCCAAAAACAAAACAAAACCAAAACCACAAAAAATTCTTTTTCTTTATATGTCTTTGTTTTTGGTAGTATCTATTTAAAAATTTTTCCTTCTGTGTTATAAAAATACTACTTTATGAAGTTATTACTGTAACTTAGAATTTCTAGTTTAAAGGTACTTGTGTGCAATGGCTGTGCAGGGTACTGATGCCTGGAGGAATACTAGATTTCTGTGCTTAAGGAACTAATGGTCTATCACTTGAAAGTGGGAGGGGAATAGAGAAGTAACTTTTGAGTGATTGGAGTCTTCAGGTTTCTTTGTGATGCAAAACCCTTTGAGCCTTAGTAGTAATTCCAGTGCCCTACTTCTCTTACTTAGGTTTGCTTATCTTGGGAGCTGTGAGGCATTGCTTATCTTGAAGATCAGCTGACCAGCGAAGCCACCATGTCGGTGAGGCCTTTTGAAAGTCCACCTCCTTATCGACCTGATGAATTGTAAGTAAATAATCCTTCAGATTCTTTCTTTTCTAATGAGGCCTATTACCTGTAAAAGAAACTTTCAGTAAGTATTTGTTTTTAAAATTAAGCTAGAGGGCTTGAGCTATAGCTCAGTGGTAGAGGGCTTGTGTCATATACATGAGGCCCCTAGGCGCAATCCCCAGTACTGCCAAAAACTAAACAAAACCAAAATAAAATAAATAACTTTCCCCTCTCCCTTTTGGACTGGGAATGTGGCTCAGTTGATAAAATATTTGTCTAGCATGCACAGAGCCCTGGGGTTGATTCTTAGTACTACATGGTGGCACACACCTGTAATCCCAGCACTTGAGAGATGGAGGCAGGAGAATCAGAAGTTCGGCTACATAATGAGCTTGATGGAGGCTATCCAGGACTACATGAGACCCTATCTCCAAAAAAATTAAAGTTTGATGTATTGGTGCATGCCTGTAGTCCTAGTCGGGAGGCAGAGACAGAAGGATGGCCATAAATTTGAGGCAGCCTGATCTGTCTAGCAAGTTTCAGGCCAGTTAGGGCTACAAGGTAAAACTGTCTCAAAACAAAAAAAAAGACAAAACCCCCCCCCCCCAAAAAACAAAAAACCAAAACCAAGCAAACTAAATAAATACGACATGAGTGCACTCACACTCACGTACATGCAGGTGATGCATTCATACACATAAAATAAAAATAATAAATAAAAAGATTAAAAAAATTTAAAAAGTAGCAGTTTTATTGAGAGAAAATTCACATGCCATATGGTTTACCCATATAAAATAAACCACCCATTTGTTTTTAGTATGCTCACAGGCTTACAATTATCACAATTAATTTTAGAACATTTTGTCACCTTCCAAAGAAACTTTCCATTAACAGTCACTTCCCCAGTTCTTGAGAAGCCCAGGCAATCGCTAACCTAATTTCTATCTCTGTTTTTCTGTTCTGGGCATTTCATATCAATGGACTCACATGACATGTAGCTTTTTCTGACTGGCCTCTTCACGTAGCATGTTTTCCATGTTGTTAACTTAAAAAAAATTCTTGCAGTGTTCTAGCATGGTAATACCTACTTTGATCTTCTTTCTGTATTGATAAGTTTAAAACTGATACCTACCACTATGTAAAACAAAGTTGAGGGTTCTTGTAGCTCTTGGCCATTTGGGGACGTACCAATGAATTCCTAAATCTTCTGTGAAATGTTGATAGGGATTCCTTCCTTAAGGAGTTTGTAGTTTAAATTCTAATAACTGGTGCAGTAAAAAATTAGGGAAAAACACGTTCAATGCCTTCTACTACACTCTCATAACACAGTCAATAAAAAATGCTTCTGTGACCTCTGATCCACAAAATACGTGAGACTTTCTTCTTACTAGCAGCCATGTGGTCAGTTCTGTCGTAGACACTGAGTATCCTCCAGGTCAGTTCTGACCATTTGACCATACCTACCTGAAGAAAGTGTAGATGTAGGTCTCCAGTGCAGGTTGTGGCCTGCACTCTGACTGACTGGCTGTAAGTTGGGGTTCCTACAACCACTCCTTGGGTATAGCATTTCTACATGCTCCTCAGGAACATGCAGTGCCCTAGTATCTGGAATCTCTCTGAATCTAGCCCTTTGGGTATATATGGAAGCTTTGTTATGTGGGCATGATTGCTTAAGCCACTGACTGTTTATGGTTTCCACATGGCCTTCAGCCCTTCTTCCCTTCTCCAGTGTGAGAGAGAGGCTGAAAATCCCTGGCTCATCATGATTTGGTCTTAATTGTGACGAGGCCCCTTCCTGAAGCCAGCTTCAGCTTCTGTGCTAGAAACTGAGCCCTCTCACAGAAATCCGAGTCAGGAGAGCATCTGTGGTTAGCCTTCTTTAAATTAAAAATTTTTCAAAATTTTTATTTATTTAAATGTTTTATTTCTTATTTTAATTTTAATATTCATTTATTCATTTATTATTTATTTTAAGTGCTGCGATTGAAGGCGTGCGCCACCACGCCCAGTGTTATTATTTTTATTTTGGGTGTATGAGTGTATTGCCTGCACCCCTGTCATCCAGTGCCTGAGGAGTATAGAGGAGGGCATTGGATTCCCCTGGAACTGGAGTTAAGGCTGGTTGTTAGCCACCATGTGGGTGCTGGGATTTGAATCCGGGTATTCTGCAAGAGCAACTCGTGCTCTTAACCGCTGAGCCATCTCTCCAGCTCCAACCTTTTGTAAATTTTAATGAAAAAAAAATTGATTCTTTCATAGTCTCTGTCTCTGTCTTAGTCTGTCTCTGTCTCTGTCTCTGTCTCTCTCTCTCTCTCACACACACACACACACAGACACACACACACACACAGTGCTTTGATCACAGCCCTCCCATCCTCCCCCTTATTCCCTTCCTTCTCCCACTGAGCTCCTTCTTTTGTTCCAAGTTTCTGTCCTGCTTTCAGATTCACCTCTCCCCTCCCCCCAACCCCCGTTAATTAGGGTTGCCTGCATGAGCATGGTAGGGGATTGTATACTGAGCCAGGGCATTTTACCAGTGTCTGTACCACTCACCATTGAAGAATATGACTAGCCTCCCCCAGGAACCATTAACTTCCTGTAGTTCCTGGGGAGGGTGGGGCTCATGACTCTTTCCCCATCCCTGGGGTCTTTATTATTGCATTCTCTTGTACATCCCAAATAATTCTGTTTAATTTTACTTGTATTGATATAGTAACACTATATGTGTCTTATTTCCTCTCTTGTTTCTTTTGGCATTTCCCATAAGATGCCTCCATGTAGCTGCATGTATTCACAGTTGAGCATTTTTTTATATCACAGTAGCACTAGACTGGAGATAGAGCTCAGTGTAGAGTGTATATACTGGATATATATTGGATTCCCAGCATCGCAAATTAAAAATAAAAGCAACAGCAAAAGATAAAATATGAACTATATAATCTTTACATTTTCTTACAGTCACAATAACAATAAAAAGAAAATTTTATTTTAATGTATTTAACAACAGATATATCTAAAATATTTCAGCAAGTGATTATATTAAATAAATGATTCATAATACTGCACTTAGTAATTCATGGCTGTAATCCTAGCACTTGAGAGGCTGAGGCAGGGGGATTACTTTGACTTCGAGGCCAACCTGAGCTACAGAATGAGAAACCTGTCATTTGAAAACACAAAATAATGGAGCTGGAGAGATGGCTCAGTGGTTAAGAACACTGACTGTTCTTGCAGAAAACCTGGGTTCGAATTCTAGCACCAACATGGCGGCTAACAACTGTCTGTAACTCCAGTTCCAGGGGAACTGACAGCCCTTCTGTCTTCTGCGGGCATTGCATGACATGGATGCGCTTATCTACATGCAGGCAATATATGCATACACATAAAATAGAAATAATAAAATATTGAAAAAAAAGAAAACAGAATAAAACAAATATTTATGAAATTCTCTGTGTTCTGTTTGCATACCACATCTCTGAAATCCACTGTGAACCTTACCCACTTAGCAGTATGTCTGAGTTTAGAATAACATAAGTCCCAGTGCTCCCTAGACCCCTGTGCCTAGGGGCTGCCCCATGGCACAGCTCTGTAATCCATCTCATGGGTATGTCGCAGTTACTCATTCCATTGTGGGTGGACATCTGGACTTTTTCCAGTTTTGGGTTATCAGAAGCAACACTGTTATGAAGTTTTACACTGTTGATGGGAGTGTCATTGATTGGTACAATCAGTTTGGAAAACAACTTGGCATGGTCTAGTAGAGTTGAAGGTACACAAATCATGTGACCCAGAAATCCCACTCCTTCGTTGATACCTTAGAAAAATAAGTGCTTTTGTATACCAGAATATATATTCAAGGCTGTTCAGAGCTGAACTGTTCACAATACCCCCACACAGAGACAACGCAAAAGGAATTTTAGCTTGACATTTTTAAAGGCCAGTGGTTGCTCTGGTTTCCCCATTTCCCTTCTGTTTTCATTCTCACACACAGATACTATCTTTGAATTCCCATGATCATCAGCAGCTGCAGGTAGCCAGATAAGTTGCTGGGGCAGAGGAAGGTAGTCTGAAGGCAAAAAACCAAAGGGGCTCAGGGAACTTTCCCTCCTCAGGGCTCAAAGTGATCTCATTTTAGTGTTTCCAACACAGATAGTCAAGTTGTGATTAAATTACTTGGCATGTGGAAAGTTTATTAGTTTCTTTTTGTTTTAAGACAGGGTCTCACTGTGTATCCCTGATTGGCTTGGGACTCAGTCTATAGACAAGGCTAGCCTTGAACCCACAGAAATCTGCCTCCCTCTGCCTCCCGAGAGCTGGGATTAAAGGTGTGTGCCACCATACCCAGTGTGAAGAATATTTGATAAAGGGGATTCAAAATCCAATTAGGTATGCTCTGATAGCTCTTACTGTTGGTTTACTTTGCGTTTGTGCTGTAATTGACTATAGATTATGCAGTGACTTGCTCAGTATCTTGCTTCTTGAGTAAGATTTTTTTTTTTTTCCCTGAGAGTAATTGGGATTGAATGCAGGGCTTTGTGCTGGGCAAGTGCTCAGACACTGAACTGGGTTCCCTAAGATTGCTTTTTTTTCCTTTAGTTCTGTGTCTCCACTGCCCAGCACAGTGCCCAGCATAAGTCAACCCTTGGCAGCTCCAGCAGTCAGCCTTCAAATGAATAAATGAATGAGAGTGTACTTTCTTAAGTAGGAGACTGAAACTGCTAGGAATTGCACATGACCCTGACTAGGCTGGTGCAGGTGCTGTGTTTGAATGCTCCTGCCTTGCACTACACAGGCAGAAAGGTTGATACCATTGTTCTGAAACTGCCTGGGTCCCATCCACACATGCTATGATTTCACTGATATGATGTGCATCGCCTGAGATTTTCTTCCCCGTGGAGCTGGGAGTGGAACCCAGAAACTTTGCACTTGCTAGGCAAATGGTAACGCTGGGTGACAGCACCAGCCTCACCATTATTTTCTAAATAATCCTTATTTGGAGCAAATTTTGAGAACCTTTGCAGTCTAGTGTACTGGAGCAGTCATTGTCAAGGTGTGTTTCCAAGAGCAGCAGTGTCTGCATCACCTGGAGCTTGATGTACTTGTTCCACCTGAGAACCCAGCAACTCTGCGGCTGGTGGCCAGTCTTCAACCTTTCAACAAGCCTGTCAGGTGATTCCAGTGCACAGGTCCCTTTACTGTTCAGTGGGACATTTGTTTACCAATGACTAATTTCACTCTGAGCACTTTATTGTTTGCCTTTCAGCAAACCCAATCATTATGCACCAAGCAATGACATATATGGTGGAGAAATGCATGTTCGACCAATGCTGTCTCAGCCGGCGTATTCTTTTTATCCAGAAGATGAAATTCTTCACTTCTACAAATGGACATCACCTCCAGGAGTGATTCGGATTCTGTCTATGATGATTATTGTGATGTGCATCGCTATCTTTGCCTGTGTTGCTTCCACACTTGCGTGGGACAGAGGCTATGGAACCGGCATCTTAGGAGGTGGCCTAGGCTACCCTTATGTAGGAAGTGGCTTTGGTAGCTATGGAAGTGGTTATGGCTATGGTTATGGCTACGGTTATGGCTATGGAGGAGGGTATACAGATCCAAGAGCAGCAAAGGGTTTCATGTTGGCCATGGCAGCCTTTTGTTTCATTGCTTCCCTGGTGATATTTGTTACCAGTGTAGTAAGATCTGGAATGTCCAGGACAAGAAGATATTACTTGACTGTGATCATAGTAAGTGCCATCCTGGGCATCATGGTGTTCATTGCTACAATTGTGTATATAATGGGAGTCAACCCAACTGCCCAGTCCTCTGGATCGATATACGGTTCACAAATATATGCCCTCTGCAACCAGTTTTATACTCCTGCTGCTACTGGACTCTACGTGGATCAATATTTGTATCACTACTGTGTGGTGGATCCTCAGGAGGTAAGAATAGTGTTTTTCCTGTCTCGTCCCCCTTCCCCCCTGCCCCTTCTTAAGATCAGAGGCACTCTGTAATGCATTCACTCTGGAACACTTAAATAGTCATGTTGCTGAACATGATGGTGCCCACCTTTAATTCTAGCACTTGAGAGGCAGAGGCAGGAAGATCTCTGTGAGGTTTGCCTAGCAAGTTCCAGGTGGACTGGGGCTACAGGGAGACTGTCTCAAAAACAAAAAATCAATGTCAAGGTTTCACTTTTAATTAGGTCAAAATTTTGGGGAGGTCTGGGTGTCATTATTAAGGTATAAGTAACATTTCATATAATTGTATTTAAAGAATACTCAGTGGTTTGTAATGTAGTCACAGAATTGTGCAAATGTCATGATAATTTTAGAACATTTTCACTGTTCTCTAAAGAGAAACTGTATCTCTAGGAGTTGCTCACTTTTCCTAACCTCTCTAGGTTTGCCCACTCTCAGGTGGTTCTTGTGTTGGCTTCTTTGACTTAACGTAATGTTTTTAAGGTTTATATTTTGTCATGTGTAAGTCCTTTATTTCTTTTTATTGATGAATGTTAATATTATTTTTGTGTGTATGAGTGTATTGCCTGTGTGTGCAAGTGCACCTGTGTCGTGCAGTGCCCTTGGAGGTCAGAAAAAGGTGTTGGATCGCCTGGAACTGGAAAAAGGTGCTGGGACTCAAATCTGGGTCCTCTGGAAGAGCAGCCAATGCTCTTAACTGCTGAGCCATCTCTCCAGCCCCCGATGAATATATTTCAATACATATGTCACATTTTATTTACATGTTTGTAAACATTAGAGCTCTTTCCGCATTGTCTGTTATAAATATGATCTTTGATGTACAAGTGGTGAGCTTGGTGCTGACTCAAGTTTTTGAGGAACTGCCAGAGTTTTCCAAAGACACTGCACCATTTTACAGTCTCTAGAAATGTATGAGGGGTCTAACTCTTCTATTTTCTCACCCAGTGCTTGTTATTGTTAGTCTGTCTGATTCTAGTGCTAATGGGCGTGACATGGCACTTCACTGTAGGTGTTTGTTTTAAAAAGGGTGCCACCTTGCCTAGCTTGTATTTTTTTTTTTTTTTTTGTGGTCTTTTTGAGACAGGGTTTCCCTGTAGCTCCAGCTGGTCTGGAACTTGCTGTGTAGATCAGGCTGGCCTCGATCTCACAAAGATCCACCTGCCTCTGCCTCTGGTTCTAAGTGCTGGGACCCTGAGCATATTTTTATCTGTTTACTGAAAATTTTTTTTTTATCATTGGATATTCAGAATCTTACTCATTTTTAAAAAAAATTATTTTTATTTTATTTTATATATATGAGTGTCATGCCTGCATATATGTAAGTGCTTCTGTGTTGTGCAGTGGTGGTGGAGGCCAGAAGAGGGTGTTGGATTCCCTGGAACTGGAGTTATGGATGATTGTTTGCTGCCATGTGGGTGCTGGAATTCGAACCTGGGTCTTCTGCAAAAGCAGCCATTGCTCTTAATCACTGAGCCATTTCTCTAGTCCCCTTATTCATTTTTAAAATTGGTCTATCTTTAATTTTTCTATAATTTGTATACAAGTCTCTTATGAATGATGTGCAAATATTTCTTATTTTGTCATGCTGTTTTCATTTTTTTGATATTTGCCAAAACGTTAAAAAAAAGAAATTTAGTTTTTATGTGTACGAGTGTATTGCCTGCATGTATGTGAGTGTACGTGCTTCAGAGGTCAGAAGAGGATGTTGGATTTCCCTGGAGTTAAGTATGGTTCTTAACCACCATGTAGGTACTGGGAATTGAACCTGGGTCCTCTGCAAGAGCAGTCAGTGCTCTTAACCACTGAGTCATCTCTCCAACCCCCCACAAAACTTTTTAGTTTTGATGGAATCTCATTTATCTGGTTTTTCTTTGGTTCCTGTGTGTTGAGCATCTTATCAAACAAAGAATGGAAATGTCTTTGTTGAAAGGACATTTCTCCCTTAAATTTTTTTTTTGTTGTTTTTTGAAGAATCTCTCTGTGTAGCCCACATTGGCCTAGAACTTGTGAGTCTGCTGTAGCCTCAGCTCCTGAATGCTGGGATTACAGGCATATGTACCATCTTGCCTGATCCATTAAATATTCTTCATGCCATTGTTCAAAATGAATTGACCATATGAGTGAGGGATATAATAGCTCAGTGGTACAAGACTTGCCTATCATGCATAAGACATGCCCTGGATTTTAAAAAATGAGGCTCAGTGGGTAGAGTGTTTGCACAACCATGAGGACCTGAGTTTGGATCCCCAGGCATGGTGGCTGTGTACCTGTAACCCCAGTACTGGGGAGACACAGATCAGCAGATCCTAGGGGCTCTTTGGCGACCAGTCTAGCTGAAGTGGTAAACTCCAGGTTCACTGAGAGACCATGTCTCAAAAAATGAGGTTGAAAAAAATAAGGTGGAGAGTGATAGAGGAAGACTCTCCCTGTTGACCTTTGGTCTGCATGCGTGCACATAAGCAAGTGCAACGGTGCAATGAACATGGCGGGGAGGGGGGCGACACACAATACTGCATGTCCCTCCCCGCACAGACAAATTGACCATAAATGTGAACGTTTATTTTTGAACTCTCATTTGAATTCATTAATCTATGTTTCTGTCCTTACACCAACACTGCACTGTCTTTTTATTAGAACTTTACATTAAGTTTTGAGATTGTGAAGCAGGAAGTCTCTATATTAAAGACGGTTTGGCTGAATTCTGGGTTCCTTACATATCTGCATGAATTTTTAGGACCAGTTTTTCTATTTTTGCAAAATGCCTGCAGAATCTTGAAGAGTTGCACCGAATCTGCAGATCAGTTTGGGAGAATCTTGTTATCATCACCATTATAAGTCTTCCAGTCAGTGACCACAGGGCATCTTTCCAGTTTTCTCTTTCTTGCAAGTGTTTAGTAGTTTTCAGTGTTATTTTAAAAAGCTGTCCAGGTGATTCAGTTGCTGATGGGGTTAAGAACCCTTCAGAAACTGTGAATCATCTTATAAAACCATAAAACCATAAATGTTTCTTCTTGCTTTTTTTTCCCTCCTCACACTGACTCAGGAATTCCCATTCTTTTACTTGGATGAGTCACTCTTTTGCGGTTAGACTTTCTCCACTGACTACCTGTTTTATTTTGAAGATTGAGCAAATCCCTGCAGGCATAGGTTTTTAGAATGCTAGTTGTTTCTGTTCAGACGTGTCTGTGGCAAATAAGGATTGAGACTCTGGAATTGATGCTCTCATCTCACCACACTCCCATCCCTCTAAATCCTCTGACTACTTGAAACCTATAGTCTCTGAAAAAGGATGTCACTGTGAGATAGACAGCTGGAAGGAGAGCCTCCTGTTAGCAATTAGTGGATATCCAGTACTTGCCTCAAATTCAAGTGCCTCCTGGGCCAGTGTGCCATTTAATACAGGTATCAGACACTGGATGAAGCAACAGGAAGAGGAAGTTTCATTGTTGCAGGCCCTTCTAGTACAAGGCATTGAAAACAGAAAAACCTGCTAGACCAAAGGAATCATTCGTCCATTTGCTCTAATTTATAGCTTGGTTAGATCCAGGTCTTCATCATTTGTGTTAAGACAGATCCTTTAGGAACCAAAACTCGGTTCATTGTACAAAGATTTGTCAAGCATGTGTCATGAATAAGATTGCGGTGTGATTGGGTATTTAAAACTATTTCTGAAATTAGCAGTTTCAAACTCCTTAAGGCTGGGCGTCATGGCATTTGCCTGTATTCCTAGCACTTGGGAGGTGGCAACAGGAAAATCGGGAGCTCAAGGTCAGCTTCAGCTGCGTAGGGAATTAGAGGCTAGCCCAGGCTATATGAAATTTGGTCTCAAGAAACAAAGGTAATGGAAGACATTGAGTTAATTTACTAGCTGTTCTATAGGGACACGTTTCAGAACTGGTTTTCTATAGCTCTAAAATGGATTGGTGATAGTCCCTAGCTTTAAGCATGTTCTAAGGATTGAACCATGTGGTACACATAGATTTATGCTTGTGTGCAGCACACTTGTGCACGTTTTGATAACTTTAGTCCAGTTGGTGTGGGTTAATATGATACAACTAATATGTAACAATTTGCTTTAGTTTTATATCTATTAAACCACAGGTACTTAATAGACCCTTAGGTAGGTAAGGGTTTTAACTCACAGAAGGTAGATTGCAATTAAAATTAATTATGTAAATATTTATTTCATCCTTTTTCAGGCTATTGCCATTGTCCTGGGATTCATGATTATTGTAGCTTTTGCTTTAATCATTTTTTTTGCTGTGAAAACCCGAAGAAAGATGGACCGGTATGATAAGTCCAATATTTTGTGGGATAAGGAACATATTTATGATGAGCAGTCCCCCAATGTTGAAGAGTGGGTAAGTGTAAAAAAAACTTTCGATCTTTTATTAACCCCTCGGTTTCTGGAACTACATTTTGGGTATTTTGTTAAACTTTGTGCTCAGAATTATATCTTTGTATACTGAATAAGTTTGACTTATATTCAGAATTTTTAAAAGGTGGGATAAGTAGAAATTGTTTTATTTTATTTTTTAATTATTTTTTTAAACTTTAAAACAATTTTTTTATTATTTTATTTTATGTGTATGCATGTATTGCCTGCATGTAGGTAAGTGCACCTGTGTCTTGCAATGCCTGTAGAGGTCAGAAGAGGCTGTTGGATCCCCTGGGACTGGAGTTACAGACACCTGTTAACTGCCATGTGGGTGCTAGAAATCAAACCTGGGTCCTCTTCAAGAGCAGTCAGTGTTCTTAACTGCTGAGCCATCTCTCCAGACCCCTTGATGCCATGTGGGTGCTGGGATTTGAACCCGGGTCTTCTGCAAGAACAACCAGTGTTCTTAACTGCTGAGCCATCTCTCCAGCCCCGGAAATTGTTTTATTAGATAGAGGATAACAATCATTTCTGTTTTCAGGAGCAGATCTAGACTCTGGAAAGAAATGGCTTTTAAAAGTCACACGAAGAGCTCCGCCTTTACAGAATAGAGAGAGGCCCTTCTTCCTATCCCCTTTGGTTTCTCTGCCTTTTATTTTGAAGAAAACACTATTGCCTGGGAGGCAGGCAGCTCTGAATTCCAGGACAGTCTGGTCTACCTTGCAAATTCCAGGCTAGCCAAAGCTATAGCATAAGACCCTATCTCAAAAAGCCAACCAATCAGCTGAGTGTGATGGTGCACACTTTTAATCCCAGGGCTTATGAGGTAGAGGCAGACAGAACTCTATTAGCTTGAGGCCAAGCCTGATCTACAGAAGGAATTCCAGGCTAGCTGGGGCAACAGGGACACCCTGTCTCACAAAACAAAAACAAATGACAACAACCCCTCCCCAAGAAACCCCTAAATAAACAAAGCCAAAAAACACCCCCAAAACCAAATCTCCAAACAAAAACCCAAAAACCTTCAGAAGTGTTACTAAACTGCCTTTGGAGATGATTGGAATGCAACTTTGTTTCTGTCTGGATGCTGTGAGCAGCTACAGAAACTGTAATTATAGGTGTCTTTGACCAAAATGATTTATTTTTTCTTCTTTCTCTGCTCCCCTCCTCCTTTTTTTTTCCTCCAGTACTGAGGATTGAACCCGGAACCTTGTGCATGCTAGGCAAGCTCTCTACCATTGAGCTATATCCCCAGATTTTTGTACTTTCTTTTTTCTTATTCTGTGTATGTATGCTGCGTGTGATGTGTTTGTGTATGTGTGTGTGTTTCTATTTGTGAGTCTCATCATGTGCACCTGCCACTGGGTGTGTGGAGGTCAGAGGACAATCCCAGGTGTCAGTCCTCACTTTCCACCTTGTGTGAGTCTCATCACCTTTGCATTTGCCAGGGCTGCTGCCCTTGAGCTTCTTGGAATTCTCTGTCTCCCATCTTTTTTTTTGGTCTTTTTGAGACAGGGTCTTCCTGTAGCCCCAGCTGTCCTGGAACTCACTATGAAGACCAGGCTGGCCTTGAACTCACAGAGATCTGCCTGCCTCTGTCACCTGAGTGCTGGGGCTGAAGGCGTGCGCCACCATGCCTGTCTCTGTCTCCCATCTTACGCTAGGAGAACTGAGATTACAAACTCTCTACTGTATCTGGCTTTTACTTGAGTTCTGGGGATCTGAACCCATGTTCTTACATTTGCACGATCAGTGCTTTACCTACTATGCCACCCCCTGGCCATCTGTATTTTCTGTTTTTGAGATCGGCTCTTGTTAAGTTGCCCAGACTGGATTTGAATCCACTTTGTAATCCAGGCAGGCCACAAACTTTTGATCCTCCTGCCTTAGCCTCTCAAGTAGCTTGGATTCCAGGCCAATGCCACTAGACGTGGCTCTGGCCAGGTTGATTTCTTGCCATCAAGGTCAACTGAGAACACTGGACCCTGGTTGACTCCAGGGTAGAGTTGTGACCACTGGCAGTGGGGATGTAAGAGGGCTTTAAGGCAGCTGCTGATCGTTGCTGACTTGAAGTTCCCTTTAGTGCTAGAATTCTAAATGTCTTGAGTTTTCAGGAAATGTAGAAACTTAGATGAAATTATTTCTAGTTCCTTAAGGAGCAAACAAAGCATGTTAGGAAAGTCTCAAAGGGTGTGGTGTGTGTTTGCTTCTGAGGTGATGAGTGCTGTGCCCTGTCTTCTGCTTGAAGCCAGTTCCCCTGTGAGGTCTGAAGCTGGGAGGGAGTATTTTCTTTCGACCTTTAGCTCCAGGCAAGGCCACCTGTAGATGGAATAGGACAGTCCATTGTGATCTATGACATAAACGTTTTGATGAGAGTTTCTGGGTGTGTCCGTTTTCACTGGCTGTTGGATTTGTTTACTTAAGGTTTCGAGAGGCTTTTAAAAAAAATAAATAAACCAGCTCAAGGTAGACCAGCACCGGTAATGTTTGAGTCCCAGTGAACTTTAGCCTCTCACCCGGTTTACTGTCCAGAAGGCTTAATCAGTTATAAATATTTTTGATAATTTTGCAAAAGATAATCATAGTAACTCAAGGGAGTGGTGATAGTGAAGTTTCAAAGACAGTCCTTTAAAAAGCATCGCTTTTGGCCTGGGGCAGGGGCAGAGCTCATTGGTCCATTGCTTGCTTAGCATGTCAAGGCCCTGGGTTTAATCCCTAGCACTAGAAAAAGTTCCACATATACACAGAAAAAGGTATTGTATTTATATATTATACCTCTTAGTAGATGCCTTGGATGGTTTTAGCCACAGGTGCTTTGTTTTTCTCTTCTTCCCTGCCCTACCCAAACTCATGTCGCTGAACTCATTGCATATTCTGTGTCTCCCACGGCTGATTTCAACACCAGGCGCAGCCTGTTGCTACTGGCTGCTCTTCTGTGGCGTTTTCTGGTGGCTTTCACTCTGGCTGTGGACTGCCGCTCTGCAGATGGGCTGCTGCTGTGCAAATGCGTCCCTGCATCCAACTTGAGGCAGGGAGTTTTCTTCCTTTTGGTGATTAGAAACCGATATCATCAAAATAATCTAGAATTAACTACTTATGCAGCACGAGGATTAAAATTTTACTTCATGAGTTAAATTCCCAGTACTGGGGGAAAAATGGAATCCCAGTAATTGCAGAATGCTAAGACAAGAGACCTCCCAAATATTAATAATGGTTGCACACTTCTGTGTCCACTCAACATAATGTATGTGAGATTCATTGGATTCAGTTGGATTAGTGCAGATAGCACCATACTTTATTTGTGTAGTACGTGTTTGGTGGGATGAGAAATCTTTCTTCCTTAATGCTTTTAAGAATCCTTTGGCCAGAATTAACACAAAAAGTATGTAGGAAAGCCATTCCTTGCCATCCTGGGTTCTTACGTGCCCATTTCTGCTGTCTTTCCCTACACTTTCCCATTTCTTCAGGTCCTCTTAGTTCCTTGTGTTCCCTTAGTTTGTTATGGTCTCCTTTAATTTTATTTTTTATTCTCATCTATTTACTTATTTATATATTATTTATTCATGTACACACACCATGGCATGTGTGAGGGTGAGAAGACAACTTTCGGGAGTTGGTTCTCTCCTTCCATTGTGTGGGTTTCAAGGATTGAACTAAGGTTGTCAGCCTTCCTGGCAAGTTTCCTTACTTGCTGAGCTATCTTGCTAGCCCTATTTTAATTTTTAGGATTTATTTTATTATTTTATTTTTTGTGTACGAGTGTATACCCTGAATGTATGCAAGTGCGCACCCATGTTATGCAATGCCTGCGGAAGTCAGAAGACAGTGGAAGATCCCCTGAAACTGGAATTTTGGATGATTGTAAGCCACTCTGTGGGTGCTGGGACCTGAACCTGGGTCCTCTGCAAGAGCAGCCATCTCTCCAGCTGAGCCATCTCTCCAGCCCCTAAGTTGTCTTGTTTTTGAAAGCTCTGCAGGATCCACTAACACTAAGTGATTTACATGTGAAATGATTTACTTCCTGGTCTGGATATTAGCAATCTAGTAAGTAAAAGTTAAGTTTCATTTAAAAAACATTCTGTGATTAAGCATGTTTGCTGTGTATGTTGTTATCACTTTGTGGTAACAAGCTTAGTTCTTTCATTTTTGTATTGCTCAGTCTCTTCTTTCTGAGCTTTCTCATGTCATGAACACTAGCATTACATGCTGCATTTTTTTCCAGATTTCGTCGTCTTTCCCCTGTGTCTGCAGTGTGGTTCTTTTCAAGCCGTTTCATCGATGTATGATTACAGTGTTCTCATATTTTACCCTTAGATTTTCAGGTTTATTTCTTTATGGCTTTTGTTTTGCTTTGCTGTTCTTGGGGAGTCTCACCTCCTTGATGCTTCACTGGCACTTTTTTGAGGTTCTTCAATATTTTGATGTTTTTTGGTTTTGCCTTGCTGTGTATTGTGGGGATGGAACCCAGGTGCTTGTACATGCTGCACAAACATTCTACACTGAACTGATCTTCAGCCTGTGAAGCTAATTTTGATTATGACATGAAATAAGTTCGAACTTAAATTTCCCCCCACAATACCACGTAGACTGAAATTTTACCTCCTAAAATTTCACATTTTTGATGAAGATTGAATATTTTGTTTAGTCTTTCTTTTATGAACACATTTTGACCCACCCTTCCTTCCTTCCTTCCTTCCTTCCTTCCTTCCTTCCTTCCTTCCTTCCTTCCTTCCTTCCTTCCTTCCTTCCTTTCTTTCTTTCTTTTTCTTTTGTTTCCTTTGTCCTTTTGAGACAGGGTCTCCCTATAGCCCCAGCTGTCCTGGAACTCACTATGTAGACCAGGTTGGCCTTGAACTCACAGAGATCCGCCTGTCTCAGCCTCCCGAGTGCTGGGATTAAAGGCGTGCGCCACCATGCTCAGCAACGAATCATTTTCTTATATAAAGTAAATAAAGTCTTAGAGAATGGAGAAAATTGATGTTG